TCCCTTTTCCCAAATTGAGGGGGATATTAATCTATCCGATAATTCTTGATAACTTATTTTTGATAGATCTATTGGGTTTGTTTTAATTTTCATATTTTCAGGAAAACTTGGCATGATCGCCATTGGTCTTTCCTTTTTGATTATTGCTTTGGATTTAGAGATTTCTAGTGAGCTTAATAAAGATTCTATTGTTTGTTTTCCTAAGACATTTAAGCATATGTTCGTGTAATTGTTCTGTTCTATTATTTGAGAACAGTGTTTTGGCGCAATTTTTTCAGATTCTTTTATTATTGTTGAATTTTTTATGGGGCTAGCTATTAGCTCGTCCTTCCCTATTTTTATTGCTTCTATAACACATAATTCTAACTCCTCAGTGGGAGGTTGTATGAACTGGTTTTGTTTCACAAACCAATCCCAGAAGGGGATATTCTCCTTAACTTGCATCATGTCATCGTACCATGCTTCTCTGGTACGATCTCTTTCTTCCTTGGTAGATTTCTTGAAGAAACCACATTTTCTTTAAAGGTTGTGAGTTAAAATCTAACCTAATAAGGCCTTTATCTATTTGGAACTGATCTTCTGTTTCTATCACATTAATCTCAAAGTCTGCCTTTGTAGGCTCATAAGACTTTATCGATGGGTTTTCTCTTCGGGCTGTATGATAGTTCGATGGTGTCAGGTCTATCGATCTTCTTGTATCCATTGATTCGGCATACAAAGGTCGTGAGGATGTCGAAGCTCTTCTAAACCTGAGTTCTATAAACCCATCTTGTTCACTGAATATAGAAGCTAATTCAGTGGATTCGATAGGACTCGGGTGCTCTACTTTAGCGAGTGACCAACTTTCCGGCATCTTCACTTCATTCCAAGTGATTTACCTAGGAATCGTAACATTATTCCTAGTATTGGTCAGGAAGAGGGTAGTCATTCCCTTGCTTCCTATGATCCTGGTATTAGGACAGATAGTATTCATGGTCTTGAAGTAGACCCTGTATACTAACGCTATATTTTCGGATCCTGGTTTCATATCAAAACCTTGGGTCTGAATCCTAAAGGCTAAGGCTTCATGGATACCCGGATCTGTTAGTGATACAGAAAAATTTGGACAGGCATTGAAGTAAATTGGCCCTTGATGGAGGCTTCCTTCTATTACTCCTAATAAGGAGTCATTGAATCTATTATGTCTAGAATCGGTCAAACAAGCCAGAGCTGCTGTCTGTAGATCTGTTCTAGTCAATGGTTTAATGGCAACTCGTATTAAGCCAAAATGTATAAAATTACAGTCACTTCTTTTCTTATAAGTTTCTATTATTTTCTTATCTACTAGGGAGAAGCTTTTTGCTTCGTTGCCTAGAGAAATCGTTCTTTCTACAGTCCTAATGTTCAGGTCTGTTTTTAAATTGAATATTCCTTTTTTGTATATTTCGGATGGTGCAATCTTTGGGATAGTCCAATTGTGTAAAGATTTTTCTATATTATCATAGTTTACTTCTTATTATTATTATCCTCTCTGGTGAAGATTCACCATTCAATGCATCTATCCATCAAAATTCAACTATGAAAGAAAGAAAAAGAAAAGCATAAGTAATGACATAGATGGATTTAATGAACTTAGCCTTGTGCATTTGTCATTTTGACCCTAGGGGAAACAGTAAGCGTTTTGGGAAATACTGGCCCAAATGGGGTCAATTGGAATCTGGGTTTCAGAAGGGGCCTCAGGGAAAATAAATGTGCCTCTTTAGTCCAATTGTTGAATCTAATGGGTCAAGTTCATTTGGACCCATCCTTGGAAGATTCTAGAATTTGGAAAGGCTCCTCTGATGGCCTCTTCTCTTGTTCCTCCTTTTTTAGTGTTCTTGCCTCACCTAACATCCCGGTTGGGGATTTCCCTATGAAAGAAATTTGGAGTAAGCCTATCCCCCCAAAAATTCAAGCTTTTTGTTGGGAAATTTTCCTTGGCAAGGTTAATACTTGTGGTATGCTACAGAGAAGAAGGCCTTTTGCTTGCCTTTCTTCTCACATGTCCTCCTTTTGTAAGGAAAGTGGTGAGACCTTGGCACATCCATTATTATCTTATTCCTTTGTGCATCACATTTGGGAATTTTTTTGTATTCTCTTTGGTTGTAGGTGGGTTTCCCCTCAAGATGTGGTAGGACTTTTCAACCAAGACTTTTTCAGTCAACCAAAGAAAAGAAGGAAGGTTATGTGGAAAGCTACAAAGGCAGCTATTTGTTGGGTGATTTGGGAAGAAAGAAATAACAGAATATTCTTGGACAAGAGTAGAACAAGGGAGGAGGTAATCGACACAATTAAAGTTAAAGTAGCTCATTGGGTAAGATGTTTGCATATCTTTCAAGACTTTTCAGTCATAGACATTATAAGATCTTGGACAAAAGTAGCACAATCTTCAAGAGTGAAAGAGAGAGCAAGGATGGAATGGAAACCTCCAGATGGCAACAGAATTAAACTGAATTTTGATGGAAGCTCTTTTGGAAATCCGGGACTGTCAAGTATCGGGGGAGTAATCAAAATTTTTGAAAGGAGAATATTAGGTTTGTTCTCTGGACCGATTGGCATGGGCAACTCTCTAAAAGCTAAGTTAATGGCATTGCCACAAGGACTGGAGATAGCTAAGCAACTAGGAATGAGGCATATTGAGGTTGAAGGGGACTCCAAGGTGATCATCTCTTGGGCTAAAAGCAATAGAAGTATTCAGTGGACTTTCAAACAAATGATAAAGGAAGTGGAAATGGCTGCAAGGGAGGTAGAGGCAGAATTCAAATGGGTTAGAAGGAGTGCAAATGGGCTAGCTAATTATCTTGCTAAACGAGGGGCTTTGAGGCAACAATTGTTTTGGGCTGCAATGTAAAGAGGGACAGAAATATGTAATAGTGTGGGAGCACTAATCCCATACACAAAGTTGTAAAACTATATTTTAACCCTAAATTCAAATAAAATTCTCCTTTGCTGATAAAAAAAAATTCTGACCCTAGGGTTAGCAGAGTATAACAATTATACCAAAGGTCAAATGGTGCCACCAGGGTCCATAGATGCCTTGACAGACAACTTGGCAAGGACCAAGGTGTTTTTTTTTTTTTTTTTTGAGAAAAGGAAAAGTATAATTGTATTAAAGTAAAAGGTCCTTTGTACAATGAGAAGCTGTACAAAAATCTATCAGGTTGGACCTCTTAAAAAGGATATCCTCAAAAAAGTACTGTCAGACATATCATCTTTAAAAACAGTATGTGTAGACAACCAACTCCTCATAAACCTTACAGCCGTATTGATGACCTCAGCTTCAATGGAAGCCTTGTGTTCAAAAGTTCTGTTGTTTCTTTCGAGCCACACAGCCCATAGAATTGCCAAAGGGATGGAGGACCAGCAGACTTTCCCTTTCTTAGCCAACCCAGATATGTGCCATTCCTCCAGCATGGCTTTCACTGAGACAGGCATGCACCAACTTAAATTCAGGGCCTTCAAAAAGTAGCTCCAAATTTCTGAAACAAACTTGCAATTCAGGAACAGATGCCTAACTGATTCCAGCTCCACATTACAAAGACAGCATCTCAGATCATTGCAGATGAAACCTCTCTTCAGCAACATTTCTTTGGAGAGGCACTTCTCTAAAGCTGCTACCCATACAAAAAACTTGACTTTTGAGGGTGCCACTGTCCCCCAAATAGCCTGGCTAGGATATGGACTTCATTCTCTCTCACTAGAAAGCTGTAAAAAGATTTGACTGAGAACTCTCCTGACTTGTTCCACTTCCATACTCTTGTGTCTTGAACTTGTAAGTTTAAAGCCTGATTTTGGAGTATAGTGAATAGATTTTCAACCATCTGAATCTCCCAGTCATTGAAATCCCTTCTAAAGGATGGAGTCCAGCAAATACTGTTATCCCACCTCACCAAAGTGTCAGCTACCAATGCCTCATTGTCAGTAGCCATACTGAACAAAGCAGGAAACAGCTCTTTAAGAGTGCTCTCACCGGTCCAGGGATCTCATTCTCACCAGAATCTGATCCTCCTACCATCTCCAATTTTATATTTGATGCTCATAGGGATGGCAACAGGGCGGGTTTTGTAAATTCTAGACCCTACCTGCCTCCCTAAACCTCCCAACACATATGCCGTACCTGCCTCAAAATCTATAGCAAGTTGGATTTTGAGAATCCAAACCTTCCCAACACATGAAAATGCAAAACCCTCCCCGACCCTATCCTCCCCACATTCATAGGTAGGGGGTGGGTCGGATTTAGAACCTGCATCTAATTTCGTATTATTTCTTGTATATATAAGTAATAAATAAGTAAAATAACAGAAACAAACAACAATTTTTCCAATTATTTGATTAAGACATGTAAAAAACACATAAGCTATCAATTGACCTTCACATAAAATTCAAAATATTATTAAATTCAACACTTAAATACATAAAATTTATATGCTTTCCAACAATACGTGGGTTGGGTAGGATTGGGTTTAGCCTAATACCATACCGTACCCATACCTGTACGGATTATAGAATCCCAAAACCCATCCTTCAAGCAAAAAAAAACGCCCCAACGGCGGCGGGTACCCACGGGGTAGTGTAGAAATTGCCATCCCTAGATACTGACTTTATTTTGGCTATCCTCTTCTGGGATACTTTTTGTTTTTTCTTTATGTAGTGGATTTTGTTATTTTATGACTGGTGGCACCTTGCCACTTGTATATTTTTTTTATCTCCACCAATGAAGTGATTCCTATTTTTTGATGAAAACATTGCCCCATTTTAATTAAATGGATCCTGTACTGTTGTGGCATTTAAATTGGTTTCCTTGGAATACGTTTATGCATCATTTTCATTAAGCTTTAAAATGGCTACATTAGTACATTTTTTATAGTTTTAAGCTTGAAATTCCAGTACCCCCCAATTAAAAAAAAAGAAAAAAAAGCCTGAAATTTATTGAATTTGAGGTATAGATCCTTTCAACCTTGATATGGTATTGGTGATTGCAGGTACCAAAAATGGAAATAAAGCCGACAGTTGCCTTGAGGGCTATTCTAGTTGGAGGGATAGCTGCATTTGCAAAAGTGGCTGGTGCAATGAAGGCTGCAGGTGGAGCAAAGTTGGGGGCTGCAGCTGCTGCCATGTCAGCAGCAGCAACTGCAGCTATGGCAGGATCTAAACGGGAATCAAATGATGCTAGCAAGCAACCTTAACATTGTCTCTTTTGATTATAAGCATTAATCTGTAGGATGAGGATGTCGTATACCAGGGTTTTAACCAAGCTAGTTGGGATGATTTTGTTATGCTTGAACTCTAAGCCTAAAACTTAAACGCAAACAAATGGAAATAAAACTCAAGATAGTTTATGTTTACTAAAGAGCAATCAGAATTACTCTTAACACGTTATTTTGCTCGACATACAACGCGTAAACATATGGCATGGCTCCAACCTGCATGTACTGGCAGAAACTACATTGATCAAACAAGAATTTTCATTATTTTATCTGAGCTTCATGCCTATTCACCATGGTTTCTGACCTGAGGTTTACATATTGTTGGAGAATCAGTTTGGGGGTATTTTCTCTGCTGGGAGATCTCTCGTGCGTGGTTGTCTGGGTGGTGATCCAGTTTTTCACCTTACCTCTTTCAGATCAAGTTTGTATTTTATACTTCAAACCACAGTTTACGTTCGCCTGACCATAATATGTTTTTCCTGGTGGAGGGCCAATCCTTGACGACTTACGTGATGGAAAGTGTTATTTGCCTTTTTATATTGCTTACTTTTCTTTTCTTTTTTTTTTCTCCTAAAATTTTCTTTGATCGAGCGGTTTAAGTAAAGCTTCAGGTGTAGGCCATCTTTTCATCGAATTTACAGATGTGTACCTAATGGGTTCTCTTACTTTTCCTTGGTTTATCACTTCTCCAATATTTTACCAGTTCTGGGTTTGCTGTAGACACAGGACAGTCGATGAATGCTAACAAGATCTCATGCTTGATCAGTCTTATTTTCTCCCCCCTCTATCTCCCTTGAACGTTGCTCTTATTGCCTAATATGGGTTATGTAAGTTTTTTGTTTTTTGCGATGGTTCTATATATGATTTCTATTTGTATAATGCATATCAAGGATCAAAATATGGAATTGGTGCACCTGGATATGCATGGAGCCGATACACATGGTTGGAGGTTTTAAAACTTCGGGATGATAGAAGGCATCCCTCTAATGCTATTTTGTTATTAGAGAGAGAGAGAGAGAGGCTTATGTGTATTTTTAATAGTTATTCAATTTCAGGACCTATTCACTGGATCACACCAAACGCATGAAACGTAAAAGATTGAGTTTTTCAAGTTTTAAGGACAACATTTTCTGTTCTCTGACTCCGTCATACATATTTCTTAATTAGTTTGCATGGAATGGATTATCAGGTCTCTAGGAAGGCAAAGCTTCTCTTTAGAGAGATCGATTTCCTTGAAATGGTTACAACAGATAAATAAGGTGGTGTTTGGTTCAATTGCTGTTTTTTAAGAAAAAGGCATTATGTTAGAGCCATATCAGATTTTGAGAAAACGAAAAAAAAAAAAATGTTTCCTCAAAAACGGCCGATCTTAGAAAACGTCATTTATCTTTTTTCAGCTTCAGTAGGACTCTGGATCTCCTGCCCATGCCTACCCACAATACACTACCCCTCGTGAATTGGGAACATCTCCCCCTGCAGAGGATGAGATGTTCTCCATGTGTGGCTGCGATTAACGTGGGCAGGAGATCTGGATTCCTTCAGTAGACTCTACTTCTCAATGCAAGGCTGCAAGGGACTGTGTGAGAGCGATGTGAGTACGGTCCTGTGAATACTGAAGCCAAACTCTTCTTGAAGCATTTTCAGGTATAATGGCTGACGTGGTTCATATATGGTGAACCAAACAACTCCATGCATAAATGTTTTCCAAAAAATAAGTAAATAACAAAAAACACAACACTGCGTAATGAAAACACACACAATAGAACCAAAAGTCTCCCAGAACTGATTGGTGTTAAAAAAGAAGCCCATATTATATTTTCTCAATTGAATTGATTGTGACTTTGTGAGTAGGGGTGGATTCGAGCCAAGTCGAATATTTGGCTATTCAAGATCGACTCACAGGAATAGTATCAGGCTCAAGTTTGAACTTGGGCTCGATTCAAGTTAGAGACTTAAGATTGAGCTCGATTCAAGTTAGAGACTTAAGCTCGAGCTCGACTCAGTTCATAGCTCGCAAGTTCGAGCTTGGCTCGGCTTGAGCTCGACTATAAGCTATAAAATTTTTTATTTTCTAAACAAAAAATTAAGAATAATAAAAATTATTTAATAATATATATACAAAAACAATTATAAAAATTATTTCCTTTTACATACAAGAAAATAAGAATTATAAACTATTTACTATTATACATGAAAAATAAAAATATTATTATATATAATAAAATTATTTATTATATATATTTTTATATGTATCTATATATGTAATAAAAATTATTTATTTAATACTAGGCTCACGAGCCGAGCTTCACTTGGCTCGAGCTTGGTTCAATTAGCAAGCAAGCCTATATATCAAGCTCGAATTCGGTTCGGAGTTCGGTTTAAACCGAGACAAGACAAACTTTTCATGAGCCGAGCTCGAATAGCTCGCGAAAGACTCATCTCATGGCCACACTGAGCTTAAAGAGCTCCATATTTAATTTCCTAATTTAAAAATTCTAAAAGACCAAGAGATTTTAAAGTGAATAAGAAGCAATATGGGGATTGAGGAGTCTCATGTAGCCAACTACATTTTAAACTACAAGTATATTGTATCTATTAATAGTATAATCGCAGCACAACAGACCCCAATGCATAATGCCACTCAATAAATGTCTTGAAATGAATATGAAGATCAAGGTTCAAAATAAATGTCCTGAAATGAATAATGCAAATCGATACCCTTTTATATATATATATATATATATATATTTTGCAACCGGTTCAGGGGGGCTGGTTTAGGTCTCCTCCATCCCCTGGACCAGTCAGACCCCCTGATACACCCACTGTAGGGGCGTATCGGAGGAGTGCTGGAACAGTATCGGCCGATACGTGTCAATACTTTGAACCTTGATGAATATGCAAAGTGGAAAACAATAAATTGTTTCAAGATTCCTTCAAGCGTGATTAACAAATTTATCCAATGGTTTATGCTGGCGCTGTCTCAGTTTCTCTTGATAGTATAATGGTACAAATCAATGTTTTAAAAACCGATCCAAAGGCTGAATCATTTTTGCCGATTCAACTCACCGGTTCAACCATCTGAGTTGAATGGGTCAGGCTGTGACATCATAATTAAAAATATTAGAAAAGATAAAATATATATGTAGACATATAATATATTTATACATATATAAGAGATGTAATATGCGTCTAAAAGCATATATATATATATATATATATATATATATATATATATATATATATATATAAGCCAATTGGAATAACAAAAAATTCGTAAAATTTACAAAAAAAAGCATATATAAATAGCCAAAAAAAATGCATGAGAAAAGCAAAAAAAATACAGAAAAGTACCAGTAATAATTCTTAAAAAATGACATTTTCAGAATATGAAAGAAATTCAGGAATATCATTCTCAAAAACATAAGAGAATTTCAGACGAGAAAATAAGAGATAACAGAATTTCCGAAAAATAAAAATTTTCCGTGTTGAAGCTCCAATTATCCAAAGTCAAAAGGATTGCTGACTTGGAAGCTTGCAGCCGTTAAATGATCAAATCACTAAGGAATAACAGAAAAAATGGAAAAGAAAATACAGACTAGAATGAAAAGGCTGCTGTTTGAATGTAAATCACAGTAGATTAGAATTAGAATCGAAGAGTTATGAGTATTAGAAAATGAAATTAAACGTTAAAACTTGCCCGACAAAAAGGCTAAAACATTGAATGTAAATTGTGCAAAATTCTAGATCCGATTGCAAGTCCTTGGAGATAATTACTGTATGCTAAATCTCTCATTCAACAATGGTGGGAACTCTGTTCTCTTCTTCTAAAAGACAGAAACTCCTCTATCATTTCTTCTCAGTAAAACCTTCCAAAACTCCAGATTCAATTGCAAGTCAGCCAGAAATAAACACTGTAGTTTCCAGCGCTAAATCTCTCATTCAAAGATGGTGGGATCCCTATCTTCTTTTGAAACACGGAAATTCCTCTTTCGTTTCTTCTCAGCAAAACCCTAAAATGTAAAAAGAAAGTAAAAGGAGAATGAAAATAAAAGAGGGTTGGGGTCAGGCAAAGGTTAAGACATGACCGGCATTTTAAAAAAATTTAAACCTAACCGTCACCCGCTAATAATCGGGTTGTCCAATTGACGGTTCAACCATCCGGATCAATGGTTTATTAACTTGGTCAACGGTTTTTTATTAAAAGATGGGTTTTAGTAAAACCGGAACCAGAAATATGGTCGGGCAATGATTGGGACAGTTTGGCCGTCCCAGTCAACGGCGGGTTAAAAACATTGGTACAAATCATTGGCCAGAGCCCCAGACTGAACGCTGTACCTTTTAAATTGCCAACATACTCTTTGCTAGAAAAATTGTCCTTAATTCCAAAAATTGGACACTTTAATCAGCGAGGTGCACAAATCAACAAGCGGAGCTGCATCATGGCCTATGTTCAAGGGAAGTTTCTATTCTTTGCTCTGTGTTGTGCAACTTCCACCTGGAGTGATTTTTATTTTTGGCACAGAAAAGGAAAATATGCACTATAATAAAATAATTTTATTTTATAGATGAGAAACCGAACTTACTATTTTACTTTTCCAATGGTTAGGTCATATCAGTGGAAAAGTTCCAAATGGATGCATAACTATCGATAGCTCTCAATATCAATTTGAATGTCAGATTAATACTTCTATTAGCATTAAAAAAAAATATTGGAATCTTGATAGGATAAGTTTATCTTCCCTTGGGGAGTTGTACATGATTTGGCACATCTTTGTCTTGCTGCAGACCCGTCTTTATGAAGTCTGATACAATTGAAGCCAAGTCATCTTGATGTGAACTGTACGCATGATCAGCTCTTTCTACCATATGCAATTTGTGGTTAGGTATGATCTTTGAGAACTCCAAGGCATCTTCAATTGGCACAATTTCATCCATGGAACCGTGAATTGTCAAGACCCTGTGAATCATTCCAGTTACTTATAATATATACATAAAATACTTATCATTCAAAAATGGGGCCATTGCTTGGTGTAATGGTAAAATTTTAGGCTGGCAAGTGTGAAAATGCATGTTCAAGTCTGAGAGCAGCCACTTGGTGCAAAAAAAAAAAAAAAAAAAATTGCTAAAGGTTAGGATTGTATCCAGGAGTCCGGACACCTGCCAACGAAATAAGTCCCCACACCCTCCCAACATGATCTGACACCACACATCTCATACATGTCAGTTCCACTTTTATGGTGGATCCCAGTCTCAAGGTGAGATGTGTGGTGCCAGATCTTGTTGGTAGGGTGTTGGTAAGGGTGGCAATGGACCGGTTTTGGATTGGACCCCGTCCAGTCCAAAATCAATTTGGACGGATTGGACAGACCAACAAGGCATATTGGATTGGACCAATCCGATCCAAAATATTTATTAGATTGGATTGGACCTGGTCCATCCGTAATAAATTTATATTCGATTGGGTTGGATTAAGCCAATATCTGGTCCATTTATATAAGATAAGAATATAGGTGTCAATGGACCAGGTTTGGGTTGAAACCAATCTAAATCAAAACGAATTTGAACAGATTGAATGGTCCAGACATAGAATTGTACTGATCCAGAATGGTCCAAAATATTCATTGGACTGGATTGGACCTGGTCCATTTATAATGGACTCACATTGGACTGGATCGGATTGGACCAAATCCAGTCCAATTGACACCCCTAGGTGTTGGAACGTATTTTGTTGGCAGGAGATCCCGACTCTGTATCCAGTCTATCCCTCCCACGACCCCAGATAACTGGGACCAACATTGGGTAATGGCCCTTTTCTTATCACTGAAAGGCAGTGTAATCATGAAAACAATAAAACTCGGAAATTAATGAGGTGCTAAATGTAATAAGGCACAATAAATAAGCTAATCTTTTCTATGGTGGCTAGAATATCATCAAACAACACAAAGGAAAACTCAATTTCAGATTCTAATAAGAGTGCTTCTTCTAAAGATAGGCCTGTTAAATTATTCAGTAGGAAAGGCTCTGTTTTGTGGGAGTTGGTTCCCTTAGTTATCTGTTGGCAGATTTGGCTGGAGAGAAATCAGAGAATATTTCATGCTTCAAGCTCCCCTAGGGAGGCCGTGATTGGGCAGATGGAGAGATGTCTATTCAAATGAGCAGCTGTTCACAAGGAGTTTATAGGTCTTTCATATTCTATTTGTAGATCTCAGTGGCAAAGAATCTTATGGGATGATCAGTTTGTTGTATTTTGACCTCTGGCCCTTTTTTCCATTGTAATCTATGGGAGGGATCTCTCTTTCCCTCTTTTGGTTTAATGAAATTATTTGCACCTTTTAGAAAAAAAAGAGTTTCTGCTTCCATTGTCAAAATCCTTTGGGTAGACCATGATAAAAGGTGTCATCTAGCTGGGTGCCCAGGTAGGCTACTGGGTTCTCTTGGTGCTAAGGCAACCCATTGCCATGCATATGCATAAAATATCTGCCTTGTGTGTACTAGGCATCTGCTTAGGCTGTAAGGAATCTACCTAAGCAGGTGCCTTAATTTGTATACATGATTTACCAAGATTTTATCTCCACCCCAAAATATTGTTCTTTTTGCTCTCGATGTGTATAACAAGGAATCTACCCCCTTTCTTGTCTAACTCGTTAATTGGTGTTTAATATATTGTAGCTTAGAACAAGGTCCTCTTTTTGTTACCTTGTTTTCTATCCTTTTCTTGTAATTGCTGCTTATACTCTTACAATCTAATTAATATTTAGCAACTTGTTTTTTGCTGGTTGTGATCAGTTTCTCATTGGCTCTATTTAGCAATATCCATTGTTAAATTATGAGCACTTAAATCATTTCTTACTACTTCAACCAATATCCTTTTTGGTCTGCCCCTAGCCCTTCCAGCCCATCGAACATGCAACAAATCACTTCTTTCTTACAGGTGTAGATGGTCTTCTATTCACATGACGAAACCACCTTAGCCTACTTTCTCTCGTTTTATCACTGATTGGACCTGCTCCTAGGCTTTTTTGAATGATTTCATTTCTGATCCTATCCTTCCTAGTTTTTCTATTCGTCCATTTCAGCACATGCATTTCTGCCACACTCATTTTTTTCAGACATGTTTTCTTGACTGCCCAACACTGCTTCATACAGTATTGCTGGCCTTACTACTGTTATATAGAAATTTCCTTTTAACCTAAGTGGTATTCACCTTTGAGCTTGTGATTTATAATTTTGCTTAATTAGTTCAAACTTCCATTTTATCTTTGTATTATCAATTATACTGTTATTGTAACACAGTTATAGGAACATAGAAACATATACTGAAGATTTTAGGTCTTTGTCAAAAGACATCACCTACGAAGCTTAGGTGGGTGCCTAGGTAACAAGGTGGAATTTCCTGTTACCTTGCATTGCCTTATGGCCTAAGGAATCTACCCCCTTAATTGCAGAGTCCTGCTTTTTCTGTAAGGTAACTTAGAGAAAAGAAAGTACCAAGTAAAATAGAAAGAAAGTTTTGAGTTCCTATTCTTGAATAACCCAAAACAGCTCATGTCCTTTTCTTGAACATTGAAAATCAATTTAAGATCGTTTCTGATGACTGAAAACCAGAGTTATAATGTCATATACTCAAACCGTACTAAAAAGAATCCTAATCACTAATTCCTTTTATTCTAAACCATCAAAACAATATTAAATAGTTGGTTGGACAAAAATACCCCTAGACATGACCCTACTTGAAAGTTGAAACTTATATGACTTGTAAAATTAAACTGGAATGATCAAAATAACCCTGAAAATACAGCATATAGATCATTGACAATAAAGGCTTTTCAGTCCTTTGAAAACTAATGTCATTATATTTTAGGTTTTAACAAATGATTCAGATTATCAACAAAATCAAAGCAGTTTGATAAGATGTATTCTAACCTGCAGTCTCTTTTAATTGAAAGGCTTGCTGCATGCATATCAGTATTTAGGCGATCCATCAAACTTTCTTTAGTCACACGATATGCGACCTTTCCTACAATACAAGAAAATTCTTATCAAATATAGACTAGAAAGAACTTCATCTCAAGGTAAGAATATAGGAAGAGAAAAAGATTTACAAATTACAACTTATTGAAAGATGACAGTACCAAGCCTGGATAGGCATAAATCCAACTCATGGAAACACAATTAAGGATGAACCAGTTAATTTATTACCAACTTTTCAAAACCTTGCAATTTGGAAGTTCCATTACATATTAGAGCAAAACTATAAGGGAGTAAAAAACTTCATAACTGTAAGCCAGAATAAACAAGATTTTTAATACAACAGAAAAAAGGTAGTCATTAACTTTTGGACTTTTATTTTACAATTCAAAACAATCAAAAAGACTTACTAATATATATATATATATATATATATATATATATATTAAAATTGGTCTGTCCACGTCACCATAACTATCCTTGCTTCAAACCCCCTTCCTAATTTTCTGTTTTTAAATTTTTTGTTTTTTTAATTTCACATAATTACCCATTAAACCAATAAGGAAATCATATATGCTTAACTATATCTAAAAACCATAAAGAAAGAAGGATTTGCTTTTCTAATGTTTAGCCAAGTGGCACCACTTTCCCCCACTTCCTCCTAAATTGTCTCTAATTCCTATTTATCTCCTAAATTATCTCTAACTCCTATTTATCTCTTAAATTATCTCAAATTTAGTAGAGAGATTCTCTCCTAAACTATCTCTAAATTCCTATTTACCCTCTCCCCCACTTTTTTATCTACATCTATCTAAAGAAAGTTTCAATTAAAAAAATTCAGAACTATTTAAATGTTATAACGAAATTATATAATAAATTTAAAATATTTATTCAAAACACAAAAAAGTAATAGATTTAATAATATTCATATTATTAGTAATTCAATATTTTTACAAAATTCATCATGAAATTATGTAGTAACAATATAAAATATAATTTTACAAATTGTTCAATTTAAATGTAATTCAAATATTAAAAATTTAACATTATAAAATAAAACATTATTTAAATATTTCAATAACTAAAAATCCTAAATACAAAACATTAAAAATATCTAAATAACATAACAAAATATTTAATATTGCGCAATAACATTAAAATAAATAAAATTCAAATAATGAAAATTTTTAAATATTTTACATATTATTTAAATAACAAAATATTTAACATGACAAAATTTTAAATAGTTAAAATAACGAAATTATGTAATAAATTTAAAAAAATATTAAAAGTAGAAAAATAATTATAATAGAATTCATAATATTCATATTAATAATAATTTAATATTTTACAAAATTAATAACGAATTATGTAATAAAAATACAATTATAATTTTATGAATTATTAAATTCAATAAATAATCAATATTTTAAGAATTTAAATAAGAATATTATTTCAATAACTAAATAATATTGTAAAAAACTAATTTCACTTATATCAATTAATAATTATAGAAAATAACTATCAACAAAATTATATTGATTAGTAATAATTTTACAATAATAGTGTATATTCATTATATATTTATATACTATAATTAATATTTATTTTATTTTCAGTAATTATTTATTGTTCTTTTATGAATATGCTTTCAATAATTATTTATAAATCTATTTTTATTTTGTTACTAAATAGAAAACTATCAATAATTATTGGAGATTAAACAACTATTATTTGACTTTTGAAATTTAATTTATCGTATTTATTGTATTTTTGTTATAAATTTATTTTTAGTAATTATATATTTTTATAATTTATAGATTAATACTTAT